CAACTTTAGGGTGTCTTTGAGATCGAGTCGAGTTTGTGTTTTTAATTTTTTTTTATTTCTTAATTTGAAATGTAAGAGTTTGTTCGTCCCTCTTCCTCATCTTTAGTCATTTTCGTCGGTAGAAGTCCATATGTCTTTTGTGATCAAGAGATATAGGGTCCCCTATATTTTTTGGTCGCATCAAAAAATTTCACGACAGTGCATTTGGAGGACATTCAGGAGCTCAGAAAACCTATAGTCGATTGTCAGCAGAATAAACTGGGTGGGGATGTGTCGTGATGTAGAGAACTGGGTAGCCAAATGTGATGTGTGCCAAAGGCACAAGTACTTAGTAATGACACCAGTAGGGATATTACAACCTCTAACCTTACCGAAAAGGGTGTGGGAGGAAGTGACGCTGAATTTTATTGAGGGGTTGCCACTTTCGGAGGGATTTTCAATAATACTGGTAGTAGCGGATCGTCTAAGCAAGCATGCACACTTCACGCCTATGAAGTACCCTTACACTGCAATCTCTATGGCTAGTATATTTATACGAGAGGTGGTACTCTTACATGGATTTCTGAAATCCATTATGTAATATAGAGATAAGATATTCCTTAGCTAGTTTTAAAAGTTGTTTCTTTTGCCGGGGACAGTTCTGAAGAGAAGCACAGCATATTATCCCCCAGTAGATGGTCAGACATAAGTGGTCAACAAAAGCATAAAGATCTATTTGAGATGTTTTGTATCAAACAAACCAAAGAGTTGGGCAAGGTGGATTGTGTGGTCAGAATATTCGTACAATATCTTGTACCATTTAGCAGCAAAAACCACTTCTTTCAAGATTCTCTATGGAAGAGATCCACCCATCTAATTCATTATGGGTATAGCACTACACCCGTGTCCAACATCACAGTACATAGAGGAGGGGGACAAGGTATTATTTACTTAAAAGGAAGGATGATGAGCACGTGAGATAAGTAATCTTTGAACCAAGAGATATGGCTTACATATAGAAAACCCTTACCAGGAGGAATGAGAAATTATACATGCGGCACTTTAGGCTTTATGAGGTCGTGGGGCATATTAGAGCAGTAGCCTATCGATTGAGTCTACCACCTTTATCAGCTTTGCACCCAATTTTCATGTCTAACAGGTGAGGAAGGCGATAGGAGAGCATACACCGTCATCCCTACCCCTGACTTTAATAGAGGACATGGATGTCATTTTGGAACCTCTAGAAGTAGCGAGTATGCGCAAAGGGAAGTCAGGGGCTCAGGAGGTGCTAATCAAGTGGAATGATCTGCCAGAGCATGATGCCACATGGGAGCCATACGAGACAATCAGGAGACAGTTCTCTACCTTTCACCTTGAGGACAAGGTGCATTTTGGATAGGGGAGTATTGATACTAGAGAGGGAAGCATGCTAGGGGCAAGAAGGGTAAGAGATTCGGCCCCCCTTGTGGGGCCTATTAAAACCTATCATTCATATGTGAGAAGAGGAATTAATGAATGCATTAATTATGAGATGTTTCCTAATTAAAAAAGTGCATATTTGAAGGGGATTAATATGAGATGTTTTCTAATCAAAAAGGGCATATTTGAGGGGCTAATTTGAGGGCTGATTTGAAGGGGATTAATTAGGAGATGTTTTCTAATTAAAAAAGGAAAATTCATGGCGGATTTGGGGTCTGAATTGGAGGATATTAATTAGGAGATATTTCCTAATTAAAGATGACAGATTTGGGGACTAAATTGAGAGGGAATTGGGGGAGGGCTAATTTGGAATTTGTTGTTTTATTATTTGCTATAGGTAGTAAGATTTGAGTTATGTTTTTAAGGAGAATTTGATTTGAAAGTGCAGTAGTTTTTTTTGTGATGGATCCTAGCGGCGTTTAGGGTTTGGGAGAATAGGTCCTCCTCTCGAAAGAGGACCATTGTATCTTGCTTTGTTCATATTTGATTTTCTATCAATAAAAATCTATTTTTGTGTTGAATTTCATGGAGTTTGTTGCTATTTTTTTATGCCAAGGCGCATCATATAAATGCTAACAACATTTTCTATGTCATTAAGAACAATTATCTTAATACTGACCCTATTTACCTCAAAATTTTATGTCTCAATCTCCTATACACTGCAATTACAAGCTCATTCTTATTGTGAGCATTTTTAACATGTAATGACTAATCACCTTCCCCAATATCATTGAATTTATCCCACTTTTATTTATTTTCTTGTAATTGGCACTTTTGAAATAAGTATATGTATTAAAGATTAAATAATAACATAATTGAAACTGAAGAAACACCATATCATGGTAATAATGAAGTTTTCAAGAAATAAAAAATAAGCACCTTTGAGAAAATGCCGAAAGTGGAGAACAAAAAGGTTACAAAAGCAATGCAGCTGAAGAGAAAACAATAGCACTATAAAAAGAAAAAGTACTTCAAGAATATTACCTTCATTATTGGATCAAAAAGCAAACATGACATAAGTGTTTGCTGATGCTTCCTGCAAACAATTGTTTGAATTTATGAAAATTTAGTGTCACAAATATACTAAAACACAATCATTAAAACAAAGTCTTTGAAAATAACCTGGGTTGCAAAACATCGTTTTCGGGCAAAAGAAGAGTCCAGAGAGAAGTAATTGACTTAGGTTCGGCAATACAAAGATCCTCCAGAAGACAAGTAGACAATTCATAAATACTCAACCCATACAACCATCTTGCTTAAAACTATACTGTTAAAGAAGATGAAGAAAACCAGATCTGCATGTTGATCTCAGGAAACTAGCAACAATTGGAAAATAATATGACAGCAGGATTAACAAGGTAAATAAATACATAAGGGAAAAAGGTCGGAAACATTAAAATAATGAACGAGAAGAGATCTTGTATTTCAATGCCCCAAACTTAAAACCACATAAGTTTTTGACATTTCAACATCAGAGAACATGGACTATCGCATAAACGTTCTTCTGATTTGATTTTGTTAATGCATGCTAAAAATTTTGAAGCGCTAGATGAACTTTCACATATGCAAGCCCAAGTATTTGAAGAAATAAAAAATAAAAAACAAGGCCAAGGTTCCTTAGGCTATCCACATTTAAGATCTGGCATGATCCTAAAGCATAAAAAGACAAATAGAAGAAAAGCAACCGGCATAAAAGATGAGAATTTGACTCTTAATATAACAAAATGAAAAAAAAGAAGATTCAGGTAGCCGAATCGACGTCATAGGATAAAGGCTTGCTATTGTTGTTAGTGGTGGTGACATATTCTTTGATGACTTCCTCTAGTACTCTCCTAAAATTGAAGCTCTTATCCACTATTGGTACATGTATTAAACTCAAAGGACACCAACTATCTCCTACGATTTAAAGACTTTTGTTTACTTGTGGGATCTTATAAGAAACTCAGTCATGTTGACTAACTGCATCATAAAAGAACACCATTAAATACATCAAACTAACTGCTGAATATGTTTTTCTCACATGGATGCTCAATAGCATTGAACCCACCATTGCACCTAACATCATGTTTCTAGAGACTACCAAAAGATGTGGGAGTTTTGCTAAACTATAAGGCTTTCAAGACAACATCACTTGGGCATACACTCCGTATTCTAAATTATTCTTATTGCAACAGTACAAGAGTAATATAACAACTTGAAAGAAAATTGGGACAAATTTCTTAAATATTACTCAATCTCATCAATCAAATTAATAGACAAAAGCAAGCTGCTCTACAGCCATCATCCATCCCTACAATTTGTTCTAGCTCAATTGATGATATACTCAACTATCTCGAACATCTCTTATGCTCTCCAAGGTTCTATAACTCACTAAGTTGTCTACTCCACCAAATGAACATAATCATACTACCATTGCCATCAGAAAAGAGGTGTTTGTTATCAGCATAGAAGTGGTCGTTGTTGTAGCTGCAACTCTTCCCCAACTTATCAGTATTGCCCAAGGAAAAATCAATCATCTTACCATTGTTGGGAAAAGTTTGATGATCTCCACGCTTCTCAGCATGCCTCAAACACTGCCTTGGTCCACTCAACTCTGGCAGTACCTCTTTGTGTTCTGTTATCGTTTCCTAAAAGGACTACTATCGTCTTCGGCAATAATCTTAAATGCCCATTTACTCCTCTCAAGTTATTCCTCCTCTAGGTAAGCCATAGTTGCTCATTCTGATATTAAGTTTTAAATTTTGGGGTTTTTTTTCAATATGATTGATAATTGTTATTTATTTTCATATTTTAACATGACGTCTCTTACCCCTATTATTGATGTTGATGGCTTTCATTTTCCAATCTCTCAGAAATAATATGTCCATCTCTCCTACACATTAGCATTCGAGGATACTTCATGCATCCAGTAATTTTCTGTATATATATTATCTAAGCACCACAGCTATGAGTAACAATTTAACCTTCTTATCATGTATTTCAAGATCTTAGGAGAAGATGATTGATGGAAGTGTTCAAATTGGTGGCATGTATTATTTCACTGATCCTACTTCAGCTTCTTTATCTATTTCCCTTTATTAATGGCACTATCATTTAGGTCATCCTCCTCATCTTCTTAGCAGCTATATATCATGCAAAATAAATCAAATTCGAAGGATTTAAATTTATAGGAGTTTGGTTGGAAGAAAAGTAAATGCAGAGTAATCATTTGACGCATGTGAAAATTCTTACCTATTTTATTTTCAATGTATTTAGACTTCACTTATTTGTCAGAATTTTAAGTACATTAAGCTTCCCCGGCAGGCAACAGAATGAAATGTCAACTACATTAAGAAAAGGTGCTAACTCATGCATTCAGAATCCTATAGTAGACATGGTAAGATATAACTATTTACCTCCTATGCAAATTCTAATTTCCAATCTGAATGATTGACAAGCTCTAAAAAAATAAACCATAGACAATAGAAGCTCTAAAAAAAATAAAGTGGAGGAAGGCTCTAGAAGATAAAATAGAGGCCCTGCAAAAAAGAACTTGAGAAATAATTCAGAAAACCTATTCAGCCATTCATATTGGATGTAAATAGCTATTCGTTCTTAAATGCATGTCAAATGGATTCATTGAAAAATGCAACTCAAGAATGATTCATAAGAATAAAAAAATAAAGTAGAGGAAGGCTCTAGAAGATAAAATAGAGGCCCTTCAAAAAAAGAACTTGATAAATAGTTCAGAAACCCTATTCTGCCATTCATAATGGATGTAAATAGCTATTCATTCTTATATCATGTCAAATGGATTCATTGGAAAATGCAAATCAAGAATGATTCATAAGAATTCATCTAAATACAATTCATGTATTTTTTTTCGTAGAAGAAAATCTAAGTTGGCCTCCAAACCATGGTTTAAAAAGACATTTCTAGCATACGCCTCAAGGCACGCCTCGACTCAAGGCACAGTTTGGACGCCTTGAGGCATAAGCCTTAGCGGTCCGGGCGAGGCTTATGTTTTTTGTATTGAGGCGTACGCCTTGAGGCAGCTTGAGGCGCTGCCTCATTTAAATTATTGTTTTCTTTTTAAAATTCTCCTGAGCCGTGCACATTAGATTTAGGTCTGCCTCGTCTTAGATTTAGGTCTGCTTAGACAATCATTCAAGAAGTTCCTTCACCTCTTCTGCCAACTCTCAGCAAAGGTAACGATTTCTCACTTCATGTTAAACTGCTTCAGCTTCGCATGCTTAAACTTCGCTTATTTGTGTTAGGTCGAGTTCTTTGTAGCGAAGGTAACGATCTTTCTTCCCTTTCGACCCTGTGTCGATGTCGACTGCTTCATGAAAAGTAGAGCTTTGAAAGTTACGTTCCAACAGGCTTTGAAAGTTACGTTCCAATAGGAGCTAGTAGAGAACGTAACGATCTTTCAATCTTTCGAGCGTTGTTTAGGCTTCGCTTGTGTCATGTGAACTGTGAATGTAAGGAGCTTTCTTATTTTTCGACCTATTTCGGCTACTTTATGCGAAGTTGAGTTTTTATTGTCTTGAACTATCTGATCAGGGGTACAAATATTATTTCAAAGTTTGATTTTAATTCCATTTATGCAACTCTCAATAACACTTGTATGTGCCCAGTAATACTAAATCATATCTTCTGCATATGATAGAAGTAGCAGAAAAATGATATAGAATTACTTAGATAAATTGCTTTTTCTATTCATTAGATATTAGAAGTTATGCCACTATTTGTTCAAATGTATGTGGAATAAAAAACTTGGAGAACTTCATTGTGCAATGTGGAAGGACAGCGTAAAAATCATAAATAATTGATGTTTAAATTGCATCAAAAGAAGAATTCTTGAAATTGGTTATACTATTTTTAAGATTTTTTTTAAACAAGCCAATATGTTCATAAATTACTTAATATTTTTTTATTTTAATTAGTTATTTATAATGTGAGAATATTTCAACAAATCTATTATAGTATCCAGCCAATCCTAAGAAGCTATAAATCTCTACCACATTATTTGGTGTAGATCATTCCACAATTACTTTCACCTTTCATGGGTCTATTGAAATTCCTTCACGACTAATAATATATCCCAACAAGAGAATACCCGTTAGACAAAATTCACATTTTGAATATTCTTGTAACTGAGTTTTTAATTCTTACAATTCCTTTGGAGCTATCCTATAAGGAGATTTGTAAATTGCAGATGTTCCTTATTGTAGTTCTATCTAAAATTCAACGTCCCTTTTAAGTGGTAATCCAGATAATTATTCAAGAAATACATTTAAAATTTTTGAAACCACTAGAACATATTGTAATGCCAGCACGTCTTTGTTTAAGACCTCCATTTTAGCTAAGAATATCAACTCACCCCTCTTTAGATATTTACCCATTTTGACTGCACTAAGAAGAAAGGATATCGCATTCTTCTCAAAGGGAAGATAGGTCTTCACTTTGGCAAACAAAACTTTATTCTCTTTTTCCAACATTCAATTGTAGCAAAATGTTTAACTAATCAATCCATTTCAAAAATGTTATCGAAAGGTTTAATAGGCACTAAAATTAATTTTGTTGAAAATTTGACACTGAATATTCAGATTTATAAAACACATCCTATTGGCACGCAAACTATCCCCTAACTTTCAATGTTGGATGACCTTTAACATCTGATGCTACTCCTCTTAGTTGAATTGGTTGCTTCCCTTGCAGTATTGGCTTCCCCTCATACTAAATTTTTCCTTACTGATTGCCTTCTAAATATCTCATCTATTGTGACTCCTCCTAATATCCTTGTGGTCTGGCATTGCTTCTTTTCTCCTGAGGGCAGCCCACCTAGTAATGCCCCAAATCGCCATAACTAAAACATCTTCTAAGACCTATTAAACACTGGCCGTCTAGCCCAAATGCCTCTTCCCGCACTGATCACAAAGAAGTTTCTTAGTTAGGGTTGGCTTCTGCTTATTATCAAATTTTGGCTTCTAGTTTCTGAATTGATTTTTCTTTTTCAAACATCTTTCTTTTCTTTGTTTGTTATTGTTCTCAAGTATGCTTAGAAAAATTCAGCACATTTTCAATTCTCCTGGCTCTCTCCACTAGGATTGAGAATTCGCTGATATCAAATTGTGCCAATACTTGTCATATCTGATCCTTGAGGCCTCTCAAAAATCGGTGGCATTTATTCTCATAAGTGTTGACATAATGATATGCA